GAACTGATTGAACAGAGTTGTCCTCTGACCTAGACAGACAGACAGACACACACACACACACACACACACACACACACACACACACATACACAGAGGAAGAAACCTATTTGGGAGTGGATTGTATGACTTAGTGGTAAGGCTTTTTTGTATATGATCTCCAGTATAGGAAAAAATTCATTCTGAAAGTGTGTTGGAGAAATTAACAGTTGAATTCATTGCAATATGAGTACTCAGATTTATATGTCAGCAAGTTACAAGTAATGTCAGGGCATAAAGTCAAGCAGTTTGCTTTAGGAACATATAATGGTAGAGAAAGGCAGGCAGCACACTGATCTAGAGACTCTAGGAGGTTTTCAGGGGAATTTAAAAAGTGAAACTGTTTTTCATAACATTAGATTATTTGCCTTTGTGCATGGAAACAAAAATTTAAAAAGAGTCCCAGAATATGTAAAACATTGTGTATTTAGTGGCATGGGTCTGTAATCCCAGCTACTCTGGAGACTGAGGCAGGCATTTTGCAAATTCATGGCTTATGTAGGCTATGGAGTGAATTCAAAGGCAGCCTGTGATACCCTGTCTGAAATTAAAAACTAAAACTAAAAATAAAAAAGCGCTGAGGATATAGCTTAGTGGTAGATGCTTGCTTAGTGTGGACAAGGCCCGAGGTTCAACCCCTGTGAGGCTCTACCTCCATCCATGCATGCACGTGTAGCATGCACACCCTTGTGAAGCCGCTGGATTTTATCTTTCATGCATATTTAAGTAACTGTATGTTATTGTAAATGAGTAAATACTTTTGAAGTTAAAAAACAAAGTTTCTGTTTATTGAGGCAAGGCCTCGTGCTAGCCCAGGATGTCTAACCTAAAACTCCTGAATATTGGGGTTTCACCTGTGAATTAATTGTGCCCAGCTAAGTTTTAGTTTTCCAATACAATAACTATCTGTGGATAATCTTTTTGAGATTCTCAATAATTTGAATACAGAAGTGTCTTCTGACAAAAGTCCAACAATTGGTTTAGGCTGTCATTTGGTATGATTGCTAGCCACCTGTGGGTATTGAATATTTGAGATTTGACTGAGAGATTTAATTTTGAAAGTTTTTATATTGATTACATGCTGGAATGGCAATATTTTGAATGTATTAGATTAAACAAAAGGTATTAATTTCAGGTTGGTAGACCTCTTCCCCTTTTAAAACCACTAATACCCCTTTTGTACTTTTTAAATGTGGCTAAGAAAATTTAAAATTATGGCTTATATTTAATTGGCTAACTTTGGATTAGAAAGTTATTTTAATTGTCTTCTTATATTTTATAAAGCTGTATTGGTTGATGGTCAAGAAAGACAGATGTAAAGGTGAAAGATGCCAGTCTCCCTTCTTTACTGCAGTGGCTTGGGTCCTCTGTCACCTCTGTCTGCATTAGAAGATGTGGTCAGTCTGCAGAAGTTGAGTGGTGACCTAGGAAATCAGTTTACGATACTGTGTTTAGGAGAAACCACCAACACCTAATGAAGTGTTTCTTGTTTTTCCATTGCTCTCAAACTCCATTGCTAGTAAAGTTTATTTCTGACTTGAGAACACTGTTAAGAACTAGATCCATTGCCAGCATTCTCTTTGCAACGCTGGGAGGTATGCCTCTTGTCAGCCTTAATTACCAAGTTTGGTATTTTGTAACAGCTGTTGAGTGAGTCTGGAGCAGTGCACTTACAAACACCAGCTGAGTGGAGATGGACGTAGAGTGGGCACATTTACCCACAGTAAATGGCAGCACAGACCACATTTATTGATGGTGGTGTGGTCAGAATTGAAATCATTTTCAAGAAGACTGGGCCAGTGAGTTCAACTGACCTATTAGTTGGTTTCTGTTTTTAAATCAAGTTGTTCAATTTCTACCATGAATTTCATACACTGTCTAGAAAGCAGTAAGAAGGGGTTTACTGTGCTTACTTTGGTCGCAGTATACTATTAAATTGGTATTTATCTTTACAAATGTGCACTTCTAGATTTCGTTTGAATTATTGAGCTGAACAAAACAGCACTGAGGTTTTAAAAATCACAGCAATGGAGAGGTATTAAGTGTCTGTTACCAAAGATTGTTTTAGAAAATTACTTGTTGACTTAGGTCAACAAAGTATAAAGAGACTCCTCACTTATATAAAATGGGTAACATAGTCTTGGAAACTCTCATTATATTTTAATTTATCAGACACTTGTCGTTTAGATTTTTATTTATGTTTAGCATTGAACTGCAGATGAACACAGTAGCTCCCAAAATAGAAATCACTGCTCTTTAACAAGCTGTTGGATTTCAGAGTAACAGGAGATTATTTTACATCTCACTTGGTTTGGTGGTACTCTCTGAACTTGAAGCAGCAGGAGGCCAGAGAGCTATGCAGACCCTGGGCTTCCGATCAGTAGCACAGCACTGGGCATGTGATAAATACTCAGTTGACACTGGTTGATTGTATAAGTTGGCAACTTATAAATTGTGGGTATTTAAAGTAATAGTAAAATATTTTGGGGTTATAATTTGTTAAGTTTGGGATGCTAAGTTTGAGGTCAGAAGTAGAAGCAAGAAAATATGCTTTAAAAAACTAATTAGAATTGGATGTGGTAGTAGACCCTTGTAATTTCATTCTTAGGGAGCAGAGGCAGGAGGATTGGTAGTTCAAGATCTCTGCTGTGTCTAGAGTTCCAGGCTATCCTGGCTCCATGAGATTCTGCCTTAAGAAACAAGCAGAACAGAACAGAGTGAAGATTCATTTGTACTAACATAAACTTAACAGTGCATCTCAAGCTTCTTAAGAATTGACGGCACACAGTGTGTAACTGTTAGGCAAGCATGTTTGTTGTTGTTTATAACTTACATTTTAAAATCTGTCATTTTATTGCCCTATGACTTTTAAATACTTCAAGCTAATTGTAGTACAGTACAGTTTTTGGAGTATATCTTCGTAATATTACATAAGGAATTAGCTTACCCAGGATAGTTTATTAATAGCGCCTAAGACAACAGCTAAATTACAACACCAATCCTGCCTTAAAGAGGATGGCTCCCAAGATGATGTTTAAAACCTGAGAGTTTGCTTCCTGAGGGTTGTTAGTGTGTGTGAGTCTTACCCTGTGAAAAACAGTCTCAAGAATGGTGGTGTCTTTTATACTTAATATTAAGTTTTTTAAAGTTGGACTAGCAGGGCCAAGTGAATCCTTTGCCTCCCTGAAGCTGCAGAGAAGAGTAAGCAGGGTCACCTAAAGATAGACTTACTTAGAGGTCTGGCTGCCGCTCCGGATCCAGTTAGCTCTGAGCAGATCTCCATAAATGGAAAGAGCGACTGAGAGCCGGAGTACCTTGCTGGGGAGTGTGGACGGTGTGTGACAGGTGCTAGAGCAGGCCTGAGGCTTCAAAACAAATGCTCCCCAAGTGACTTCGTTTTTAAGGCCGAGGTTTTACCGTTTGGTGAATTTGGAGGCCGTAACAGTTTTTCTTTTTACAATTAAAATTTCCTAAGACAGGCCAGAAGATTCATGTCTGTACTTGTGGATTTGTCCTGGTTTTATGAAATTTTATGAGCATGCAGAACAAGCTCCTTAAGGGGAACATTGGAAGAAAAATCAGTCAAATTAAAATCTAGTATTTATGTTTCAGAACATCTAACCATATAAATTAGTATTATTAAGTCAGAGTGTAAAATAAATGTATGACTAAAACAGTGAGTTCTTGGCAATTCTTCTGTTAAGATCATGGGGTTGTCCTTAGTTTGATGCATAAAATAAATGAATATTTCCCTTACTCTAAGGAAAATATAGGGCTAGATATGTAGCTTAGAGGTGGAACACTTGTTCAATAATGGGAGGTGTTGGGTATGATCCCCAACATCTCAAAACTAAACAACCCAGCTATGATTCCACAGTTGGGTTAAGACAGCTCCCTTATTGAAAGGGACTTACACTTTCACAGGAGCGAGGAGCCGTCACACTGAATTCCTATTTCATGTCGGGAACTGTATGTGGTTTTCACAGCTATTTTGGTAATGTCCTGCTCTGTAAGTGGAAACTGAGGCAGAAGAGAGTGAGTGGATTGCCTTAGTGGCAGAGACTAAAAACTCAAAAGTTAGACCTGAAAGTGCAAACCTCTTCTTGTGTACTTGACTGTTTTACAAGTCATTTGATAGCAAAGCATAAAAGAAATATAAACCACCCATCTTTTCATGGACCTACCCACATACGTACTTCTCTTATGTGAAACCTAGCGAAGTGAGTCTCAGAAAAGAATAAGCTTACTATAAGGAAAGTTCTGAAGTGTTGTGACATTAAAACCAATCCTCATCTGGAGGTTGTCCACTCACGGGAGACTATATAAAAATTGAAGTTATTCCGTAGGCTAGCTTAGAAAAAAGTGTTTCTTCCTGATTTCTGTTGGCTATTATATTACTCTCAGATTAGTGACAATACATCAGATTACATAATTGTCCTATAGGATTATTGTTCTTCACCCAACCTTTCTCTCTGTTCCCTAACCCCTGTGGAAAAGTCCCTCAGTTTTTAAAAAATTTTGGTCTAAAATGGATGCAGGCTTCATATTTCAAGGTTTTTTTGTTTGTTTGTTTGTTTTGTTTTGTTTTCCTTTTTAAAAAGATCTGGGTACTCCTTAGTAATTTCTTGTCAGCTTTGTTGGGGTTTTGGATTTGAGATAGGGTCTGCTTGTATACCCCAGAATAGCTCCAAATCCCAATCCCTGCCTAACCTTGCAGGCACTGGGATGAAAAGTGTATGGCTTATTCCTGGCTCATTGGTTGCTTTTAAAATCAGCATTCACTGTACAGAACATAGACATTAGCTTTATTATTATTTATTATTTATTATTTTAGTAAATAGTTAATAAATACTCAGTGGCTTATATAGAGTTGTTCATATGGACATCAGTTCATATATATTCAGTAATATATTTTAATTGCTAGTGTTTTCATTTTTACTTAAGAACTTTGCTTTTTTCCACAGTGGAAGCGTCAGTTCACAGCAGCAATGCACACTGTACGGATAAGACCTTTGAAGCTGCTGAAGCCCTGCTTCACATGGAATCTCCTACCTGCCTGAGGGACTCAAGAAGTCCTGGTATGTGAGTTGTCCAGTTTTTTCTGTTGTTGGGTCACATTGGTTCCTGTTAGATTGAAGACATTAACTGGGTGGTGGTAGTGCACACCTTTAGATCCCAGCACTGGGGAGGTAGAGGCAGGCAGAGCTCTCTTGAGTTCGAGGCCAGCCTGGACTACAGAGTGAGTTCCAGGACTGCCAGGGCTATATTGAGAAAAAACTCTGTCTCAGAAAACCAAAAAAGAAAGACAGACAGACTATGAAGATAAAAGGAAGCTGTTAATGCAGAGTTCTGGCCAGAGTTCTTATGTACACACCTAACAGCATACGAAGGGTCTAACACTGTAGTCAATGCTGTATGTGTTTATGTTTCGTCTCTTGATCCGGGGGTAATTGGAGGTAGCTGTAGTCCTTTAGAGTTGGACAAGTTGGGCCATTGGCTCCCTACAACCCTTTCAGACCTTTACCCTGAGCAACAGGCAGTAATTGCATGGAGCTGCCTATGGTAGAGAAGAAAAGGAGTTTATTAATTTATTTTATATTCCTTTCAGCTTGTGAGATAAGGTTGCTTTTATAATTTAATTTTTATTTTTTTGGCAGGCTAATTTTAATAGTGGTAGTGAACTAATTTGATTTTGTCCTAATTTTTAATTCAGTGTGCAGGAATTTAGAATAAGTTGCTAAGAGTAGCCATCTTTAAAAGGTTATTTTATGTGTATAGGTCTTTGCCTGCCTACATGTCTGTGTACCGTGTGCATGCCTGATATCCATGGGTGCCAGAAAAGGATCGGATCCTCTGGGACTGGAGTTACAGATGGTTGTGAGCTGCCATGTGGATGTTGGGAATTGTATTCCAGTCCTGGAAGGGCAGCCAGTGCTCTTAAACACTGAGCTATCTTCCCAGCCCTGCAACCATCTTTTTAATTGGATTAGGAATCCAATGCATTCTTCAAGGTGTGGTATCCTTATTATTCATGTGTATGTGATAGACATTGAAGCAACATTATTGTATGTAATAAAATACCAGATGGCAATCTGTATGTACTATTTTAGTGACTTAAAATAAAATTTAGTGACTTAAAATAATACCTAATGGCTTAAAATTAGTCATTCCTTTTTTATATTTTAAAATTAAATATAACTGTGGACTTTGTATTGAGCATTTTTACATTTTGTGTCATGTCCTTGTATTCTTCAGTTAATGAATAATGGCAGATATATGCAACAAAAGTAATTACTAAAGGACTATTCTTTTCACATTTTCTCTGTGAAAATATGTAAAATGTTGCTACGATTAACTAAAGTTTAAAGGGAGTTGGAGAGATAGTTCTGGGGTTGAGAGCACTGCATACTCATGCAGAGGACCTAGGTTTGGTTTTGAGCTCCCACCCACATGGTGACTCCAGTTCAGGAGGATCCGATGCCCTCTTCTGGCCATCACAGGCACTAGGCACACAAGTACATGCCAGCCAAAAATGTTCACACACATAAAATATTTTTTTTTAAGTACCTAAAAGTATGAAAAAGAGGTTGGCTGTCAAGATGATTGTCTTAATACTTATTAACTTGTGTAGTTTTGGATAATCAGTAACTTGATTTCTTCAGGCACAAGTTCTCATCTTTCTTGCTTTGAACAATTCTTTTGTAAACCTTGCCTCTTTTAATATTGAACCATCCACATAGGAAACTATAATAGGGGTAGGAAATTTTAATTTTTCAACTTTTTTTTATAGTGGAAGTGTTTGTCCCTCCTTGTATATCAACTCCAGAGTTTATCCACGCTGCGATGCGGCCAGATGTCATTACAGAGACTGTAGTGGAGGTGTCAACAGAAGAGTCTGAGCCAATGGATGCCTCGCCTGTTCCTACTTCACCAGACAGCCACGAACCAATGAAAAGGAAAAAAGGTTGAGTAGATGTATCACTTGTGATACATCTTTCCCATCTTATGTTTGTGTTGGTTGGTTTGGTTGGTTTTGGTTTTCCAACATAGGGTTTCTCTATGTAGCCCTGACTCTCCTGGAACTTGCTCTGTAGACCAGGCTGGTTTCAAACTCTGAGATCTGCCTGCCTCTGGTGGGTTTTTTAAAAATTTTTTTGGGGATAAGGTCTTATCTATATATAGCTCAAGCTGTCCTTGAATTTGTCATTCTCCTACCTCAGCCTCCCCAGTATTGAGATGAATGCAAACCTTTGCCACTGTAATAGCCTATTAAAACACACACACACACACACACACACACACACACACACACACACACACAGCTCCCAAGTTACATTTATGGTCTTAACATTTTCTTCCTTTTGTGGATAGTGTTTTTAAGAAATACAAGCAACTCCTCCCAGATCCTCCTTGCCTCTCTACTAACCCAACTTCATTGTCTTTCCAAAACCTGTCAATCAAAACAAAAAACCAGTAAGACAAAACAAACAAATAAAAACCAAGATAATAAGGTCACAAAAAAACTATGGAGTCTGTGTTGCATTGGCCAACTCCTCCTGGGCATAGGCTTGACCTGCCCTGGACTGTGGTTGATAAAAGGTGGGCGGATTGTTGAAGAAGATAAAGTTGGAGGATCACAAGGACTATAAATCCTTTTCTTCTTCCTCCTCCTCCTCCTCTTTT